CAAATGTGCTTTACACAATTGATGTGTGTATGGATTGTGATAAGAGTCATCTAAGCCCCTAATAAAACGATTTAAAAAAAAGTTACAGCCTCGGGAACTCCCAGGGGCTGTTCTACCCAGTCCTCTAGGGACACTCAGAATGGACATCGGCTAGACAGCAGTGAGGAGGACCCCAGAGAGTAGTGTAGTGCGGTCCCACTGGTTTCTGAAGCTGTCCATCTGCACAGAAGCCCTCTGCCTCAACTCATCAACAGAACTGCGATAAATTCTAGCCACCGACGTGCTGCCCAACGCCTACCTCATGGTACCCCAGGGCTCCTTGAAGGCTAGGGGTTGCTAGTTCACACCCACGGAATGGTAGTGGCAAGGGCTGGCCTTCCACTCGAGTCCAGCTCGTCCTGGGCGAGGGTTTTCAAAGGCTGGGCTTTCCGATCGGAAGGCCAACGGTTGAGCGTTTACAGATACACCCAGAAGTACGTGTGGATGAAAAGCGTGAAGAAAAGGTGGCGTGGATTTGAAATAATGCCCCTGAGACGAAGCTGCCCCTGCTTCTAAGGAATCCCACGTGCAGGCCTGGTCATGTTTTTACCCCCTGGTAGTGGTTTCGGCCCCGGGAGGGACCCCCTGGGTCCTGAGGCAGCCCGCATAGGGCTGCAAGGGTGCGTGTGTAACGCAGCCTCCTGAGGCCAGACGCAGCTTCCAGGACCCTCGGAGCAACCATTTGGGAGGTCACCCTCGGGAGCCCTGAGAACAGCTCACCAGCATCCGCTGTGGCTCTCCTCACTGTCAGAGGCCATTCCAGTCGCTTGAGGGTTGTCTCCACCTTCTCAAAAAGAGATATTGACCTGCACCCGCCCCCCACACACCTGGGAATGTAGCTTTTTTTTTTTTAAATCGGGCCTTTGGAGTGTCAGGGTTCTTAGGATCTTCCCCCAAGGCTCCTCACCACCATCTTGCCAATAATAGCCAGCCAAGATCCCCTCTCTCTACTAGCACCCAAACTTTTCACCTGAGGGATTGGCCGAGGCTATGCATTTAACCGAAACAGATGAGTGATTTGAAGGAGAACGCCTGTCTTACCAGGAACCATTGCCCCTGCTGTCAGGAGAGACCAGTTCCTGGAGAAGGCCATCATGCTCCGTCAAGCAGAGGGGCAGAGGAAGAGAGGAAGGGCCTCTGGGAGATGGAGGGACATGGTGGCTGCAACGCTGGGCTCGGGCACAAGGCACAGGGAGAGGGTGGCGCAGGACCGGGCCATTCTGTTTCATTCTGTTGTGCACAGGGTCACTATGGGTCGGAATTGCCCCGATGGCCCCTAACATCAGGAACCAAGCATCCTCAACTCCATACGGCTGGCTCTCCCTCTGGGTCTGCCTTTCCACACAACCACCCAGCTAGCCCTCCCTCTGGTGAGTCTGACCAGACAGATGGATCACATAAGCTAGGGGAACAGAGCTCAGGGACCACGTATGACTTGGGGGGGG